GAGAAGAGGAATGGGACCAATGCAAGGGAAGAGAAAAGGGGAAATACTGGGAAATGATATCGGCAAGTTACATTGTTGTATCGTGTGCATATATGAATATGTAACAACCCCACCATTATGTTTAATTATAATGCATGAATAAAAATACCAGAAAAAAAGGTGAGACCCCTACCCCCTACACACAACAACAGAAACCTCATGGGGAACCCATTTAGACTTAAAGAAGAGGTGCAAATAGTACACAAATAAGGTCCTTATAACATCATTTTCCTGTTCCCCGTATAATATCTAAGTAGAGCACAGTGAGGGAGTAGAGGAGCTCACCTTGAGCACAGCCTCATGAACTAAATCAATGGCTATTAATGTCAATTCTCCCATTTTGCACCAATATCCAGGATCTACCTGGAAATTGGGAGTAATTTCTCCTGAGCAGCCTCCAGCCTTTACTATTCCTCGACCTTGTCTTTCGTATCCTTGACTTGTTTTCTATGTCATCTTACGAATAAAAAGCATTTCTTAGTTAAAGGACATATTTCTGGGAATCCCTTCCATGAGTGTTTCCTTTTCCACACATATTTATTTCTTCCTTTCTTTCCTTTCCTTTTCCTACCTTCATTCCTTTCTTTCTTTCTTTTTTTTGTACCAGGGATTGAACTCAGGGACACTCAACCACTGAGCCACATCCCCAGCCCTATTTTGTATTTTATTTAGAGACTGAGTTCCTTAGGCCCTATGTTGCTGAGGCTGTCTTTGAACTTGCAATCCTCCTGCCTCAGCCTCCTGAGTCGCTGGGATTACAGGTGTGCACCACCACGTTGGTATCACACATATATGTTAATGACTTGAGGTGTAATTACAATGCAGCCTTGGGCTTCCATGGCTTCTGCACATGAGGTAGCTCTTATTCTCAGTGACCAATCAGAAGGTTGTACGGTTCACAAAGGGTGAGACATACCCGTGAATGGCCTTCATATTGAAGTAAACATTGTATTTCATCAGCATTTTCCTTTCCATTCTTAAGTGATATCAGATTCTGTTTTGCTATTTTTTGTGACTGCTTTGCAGCATTGAATCTTCTTTCACCAAGACAATGGAACTGGGGGTAAGTGGAAGGAGGGTAGTGGTCAAAGTTGTGGGGTGCCTTTGAGAGGTCCCTTTTGTCTTCTCTGCAAAAAGTAATTCAGCCTCCAGTACAGTTCCTCTTGTCCCCACAGGTAGAATTTTGGATGTCCCAATCCTTGCTGGAGTCCCCAGGGCTTCTAGAATCATGCCTTGTTGTGAATTATCACTCTTGGAATAGCCTATATATTTCTGAAACACGCTAGCTCCATCCTCCCGCCTGGAACACCAATTCCTTGAGGGAATTGCTATACTTTGTATTCTTAAAATGTCCATGTCTACATTTCCCCGAAGGTGCTTATCAGTATGGGGTTTGCTTCCAGGATAGAGGCCTGCTGAGGACCTATCTTATATAAGATTTTATTCGACACTTTCATCAACTGGCTTCATGTACCTCACTGTCCTCATTTCTGTTACCCGATTTCATCCTGGATGCAATCTAACCCACTTCCCCCAAGATCCACTCTACAATCAGCTCCACAAAGGAATATACTGGGCCCACCTCATACCATGAAGCATGGCGACCACAGTGGTGGCAAAAGTGACCCAGATGTCTGAAAGATCAGATCCTAAGGGGAAGGCTGCAGGAGGTTGCCAGTTGCACTGCTCCTGTTCATACAGCCCAGTCTCCCGGATTTGCAACTGAGCATGCATGTCTTTCCAGTCCGGCGCTTACGTCACAGTGACCTGTACAGTTGCCTAGGGATACGTCCAGGAGGCTTAGCCAAACAGGCACTCTCCCTTACATGCCGTGGATGTGCTGTGGCTGTTTGCGAGGATGGTCCCAGGATCTGAGAAGTAGAGGAACGCCAAGTAGGTGGAAGAGTTTAAATCAGCAGCACGATCTGCAACATGGGATCCCTGCATTAGGCCTGCTTTGTGGGTATGCCTGTGTCTCTTCTCTCACTGAATCCACCCTGTGGACCACAGAATGGGACGGCCTTTGCACCTTAGGATGCTGTTATGTGCCCTGAGAATCTACCTGAATGTGTGTGGGAGTATGGCTTGTGCAGTGGATAGGGGCCTGTCTACTCTGCTTTCCTCCTTGAGCCCGTCCCTGTTTGTTCTCACCTGCTGGCAAGGAGTGATTTTTTTAACGCTGGGGCCCCTGTGTGGGTTGGAGGTTATGAATTGGGTTGCTGTTTCAGACTCTAGAGAGGTAGCTTTCTAAAATTCGGCACCAACTTCCAGTTACAAAAACCTGACTTGGAACTCAGTTTAGACTTACAGAAGAAGTATAAACAGGATAAGGAAGGTGATTATAACAACATTCTCCTCTTCCTTTAAAGGCAATAAATAACAGGTCTGGGGATGTGGCTCAAGTGGTAGTGCGCTTGCCTGGCATGCGTGCAGCCCGGGTTGGATCCTTAGCACCACATACAAACAAAGATGTTGTGTCCGCCAAAAACTAAAAAATAAATATTAAAATTTCTCTCTGTCTCTCTCTCACCTATTAAAAAAAAATAAAAGCAATAACAAACCTAACTGTAGCTGACTGACTGAGAGTAATTATTTGGTAATAATATGATGAACTAAAGTGGTGGCTTCTGTGGCCTAACCGACAGTTTCACATTGGTACAGGACCAACCTGGCAGTTGGAAGTCATGTCTTATGCATGACCTGAAGCATTTACTGTGTCCTCCACTGCTACTTGAATACTGTCAGAGGCCTCTTAATTTGGCTCTGCCTCCAGCACAACTCCTCCTGTGGTCCCAGGTATGGTTTTTGGTTTCCTTAGCCATGTTTGGGTCTTCAAGGCTCCTGCAAGTCTACTTTAGTGGCACCATAAAGTCTGAGAATAGCCAAATACCACCTCTAAAATGCTTTCTAGAGGGACCCCTGGGGCTGCTTTTGTGCTTGTGACTTTGTTGCATAAACAATGAATGGGTCATCATGGTATCCTACTGTCTTATCAGGCTTTTATATTCTCCACTCTGAAACAGACAATACATCTCTATCCTTCTCAAGGTCACTTGTAATATTGATATTGCTGGACCCAATGGCCATTGTCAAACCTTGTATTATTTAATTTTCCAGGGGTATCTGTTACCATTGATTGTCTGTCCTTTCATTTGGTTTCTATATTCCCTGCCCTTGGTTCCCCTCCCACCACTTTGGTCCTCCATCGTAGCTTCCTCACTGGTCTGTCCCTTTCTTGAACATTGGGATGCAACATGGCTTAGTCTTTGTTGTTTTTTACACTCAAGTTCCTAATTGTCTTATCCTGCCTTGGGAATTTAAATATGTATAGTAATAACTACTAAATAAATATAGCCTCTAGGGTAGTACAAGCTATTATATTGAAGTGCCTAGGCCAATATTTCAGTTCTGTGTTTAATACACACTTCAGGTTTAACATCTAAAACTGTTCTCCCAATTTTCCTCCACACATTTGTTGGAACTGTAGCTTTCCTCTTCTTATTTGATGGAATTCACCACCTTTGCAAGTGCTCAGAACCAAAACCTTTGAGTTGAATTCACCTAGGCATTTTCTTTCTCATACCTAACATTTAACCACTAAATAAAACTTGCTTCATTGCATTTACCATGTAGGTAGACTACATCCCATTCTTACCAGAACCATTGTTACCATCCTGGTCTAAGCCATCTTCATCTTTCATTTGAATTATTGCTATTGCCTTCTCCTTTTTTTTTTTTTTTTTGGTACCAGGGATTGAATCCAGAGGTCCTTAACCACAGCAATATACTTTTTTTTTTTTTACATTTCTTTATAGTTGTAGATGAACACAATATCTTTATTTATTTTTATGTGACGCTGAGGATCAAACTCAGTGCTTCATGCATGTAAGGCAAACACTCAACCTTTAAGTTACAACCCCAGCCTTCCCCAGCCTTTTTTAAAAACCTGTTATTTAGAGACAGTGTCTTGCTAAGTTGCTAAATGGTGATCCTCCTCCTTGGTCACCCAAGCTTTTGGGATTACAGGCATGAGCCACCATGCTTGGCCCACAGTATTCTACTCTACTTATTTTTGTTTTGTACAACAGCTACATTATAGATTCTTTGCTCTCACTTATCTCCTTCACTGGAATGCTCTTTGTTAGACACTAATTGGTTTCCTTCTTTACTTCTTCAAATCTTGGCTCTGATGCTTCTGTATTTATTCATGGTCTACCTTGAATTATTGTATTTCATATAGTAACTTAAACTGTCATATCCCTCCCATTTCTTTTTAAATGGCTTTTCCAACCAGTAACAATTAGCTTTTAATATGTGCTATACATACTTTGTCTCCTTTTGCTAGAATTGTTCACTGATATACCCCAAATACCAAGGGTAGTGGCTGGAATACAGTATGTCTCCAATAACTGTGACTAATTTTAGAATAGGCTTGGGTGGGGAAAGCATATGTTGCTAGCATGTCTTTGTAGGAATAGGCAATAGTCTCAAATCTTGTTCAAATTGTCCCTTTAAGTCAGTGTAAATTATTTCTATTAAGGAAAGACGATTAAGCATTTGGAGACAGAGATAGCATGTCTTAAGCATATAATTTTAAGCTGCTTTTAGTAATGTCATAAGACACTACTAATGTCAAATACATTAATAATGTCATAAGACATTATTCAGCAAGAAACACTGAATAACTCCTTCCATTTCAAAATCTCCATTAAACAGTCTAGACTGGCATAAGACCTGCTTTATAAGACAGGAGGAGGCAGTTTGAACAAATGTTTTGTCTATAAAAATAAGAACTCTGCTTTCTAGTCTGAACTGGGAAGATCCACATGCTACAAGGTCATTAAGTTAATACTAAATATGTTAAGATTTCTTTTACTCATAGCACCCCACTTCCTGGTACATTTTCCATATCCTCAAGAGAAGTTTATTATTAATAAGTGAACTAAAACAGCATCAATAAATAAGAGGTTTGCATTAATTTTATATAAAGAATCATGGGAGACAGGCAGACCAGAGAAGGTGTGACTGTTCCACAAAATCATCAGGGTTTTGGTCTCCTTCAGTATTTTTGATCCAACATTCATAACACCCAGATATCCTCAAAGTCCCCATGAGACTGACAGAAGTTCAGCTTAGATGTCTATTTTGTAGGGAGGAAAAAGAAGAAACAGAGAGGAAAAAAGAATTTCATAAATATCCTAGACACAAAGACCACTTCCATATTGCTGACTTGAAAGGGAGACTAAGATAGTGTTTTAGCCCAGGATTTATTATTAAAGAGAAAAATGGATATTGGGTAGGGAAATAGTCTCTAATGCAAACTCGTCTTTTTTTCTGTTTCAACATAGTCTGTGCATGTTAATCTTTATTTTCAGTTTAACTGAAAAGTACATTCAAGTTTTTAAAAAAATTTTCCTAGTAGATTTATTCTGGCTATTTTTTTTCATTTCTAAATAATATTCTTGAATTGTCAGAGATGGTGAAAGATGCAAATATGTAGACTCTATAACAAATCACTTCACGCTTGTCCTAAATTCTGTAACAGTTTTTCTTAATAACCCATTGATACTACACGGCTTCTTTACAGTATGAATTTTCTCTTACAATATTGAACAAAAGTTGTCTCATGACAGCATGTAGTGCCACCCCCCAAATAACCTGGGATAAATGTTAATGAAATATTTCTTGATACTAACAACACTCATAAGTGCCCTCCTCTCATGCAAATCTTCTAAAATAAGAAAAATGAAAATAGTACCTAAAATTCATGATATGCTATGTTCAAGGCACTGTTCTAAGAGCTTTTACATGTAATAACACATAATACTTTCAAGAATCTTACAAAAATGTATTATTCCTAGGTCTACCTTACAAACAATTAAATCAAAGTAATGGTATCTTATGACAAATGTCATAAAGGAAATAAATGGGCAGAGCCAAGAGTATATTGAAAAAGATATTTTCTATGGTTAAAGACTTTCCTACACTTACTACATTAAAAGAATTATTTTCTATTTTAATTTGCTAATGTTTAATAGGGTTCTAATAATAAAAGTTTATTTTCTACATAGACCACATTAACATTTTCATTGCCCCATCTAAATTTTTCAATGCTGAACTTTATGAGACAAATCTGTCCCCAATTCACATTTTTAAGACTCTGTACTAATAATGGATAACCAGATAATGCTATGTGTGAGACCACAAAGAATAAGATAATTCATATAAAAACTTGTGAATCATGACTAAAGTCTATTCCACACTCCTTATAATCAAATGATTTTTCATTGACATGAATTTTCTGATGTTGAGTTAGTTGTGAACCACGAGTAAAGGACTTTCCACATTCTTTACATTGATAGGGTTTCTCACCAGTATGAATTCTCTGATGTCGAGAAAGATGTGAGCTCTGAGTAAAGGCTTTCCTACATTCTTTGCATTCATAGGGCTTCTCACCAGTATGGATTCTTTGATGTAGAGTAAGTTGAGAGCCATGACTAAAGGCTTTCCCACATTCCTTGCACTCATAGGGTTTTTCTCCAGTGTGAATCCGCTGATGTTGAGTAAGCTGTGAACCACGAATAAAGGCCTTCCCACATTCCTTACACTGATAGGGTTTCTCACCAGTGTGAATTCTCTGATGTTGTATAAGCAATAAGCCACGAGCAAAGGCTTTCCCACATTCATTACATACATAGGGTTTCTCACCAGTATGAAGTCTCTGATGTTGCGAAAGATGTGAACTCTGAGTAAAGGCCATTCTGCATTCTTTACATTCATAAGGTTTTTCACCAGTATGGATTCTTTGATGCTGAGTAAGTTGTGAGCCACGAATAAAAGATTTTCCACATTCCTTACATTCATAGGGTTTCTCACCAGTGTGAATTCTCTCATGTTGAGTAAGTTCTGAGCCACGACTAAAGTTTTTTCCACACTCTTTACATTCATAAGGTTTTTCACCAGTATGAATCCTTTGATGTCGAGTAAGGAGTGAGCCACGATTAAAAGCCTTTCCACATTCCTTGCATTGATAGGGTTTCTCACCAGTATGAATTCGCTGATGTTGAGTAAGTTGTGAGCCATGACTAAAGGTCTTTCCACATTCCTTACATTCATAGGGCTTTTCATTAGTATGAATTCTCTGGTGTTGAGTAAGCTGTGAACCTCGGATAAAGGCCTTCCCACATTCTTCACATTTATAAGGTTTTTCCCCAGTATGAATCCTTTGATGTTGCATAAGTAGCGAGCCCCGAATAAAGGCCTTTCCACATTCCTTACATTCATATGGCTTTTCCCCATTATGAATTTTCTGATGCTGGGAAAGCTGTGAACCACAAATAAAAGCTTTCCCACATTCCTTACATTCATAGGGTTTCTCACCTGTATGAATTCTTCTATGTAGAATAAGTTGTGAGAGCTGAGTAAAGACCTTTCTACACTCTTTACATTCATAGAGCTTCTCACCAGTATGAAGTCTCTGGTGCAGAGTAAGTTGTGAATTCTGAGTAAAGGCCTTCCCACATTCTTTACATTCGTAAGGTTTCTCACCAGTATGGACTTTCTGGTGTCTGGTGAGTTGTGAGCTACGAATAAAGGCTTTCCCACATTCTTCACATTTATATGGTTTTTCACCAGTATGAATTCTATGATGTAAAATAAGTTGTGAGCTTTGAGTAAAGGCCTTCCCACATTCCTTGCATGCATAAGGTTTCTCACCAGTATGAAGTCTCTGATGAAGACTGAGCTGAGAATCACGACTAAAGGCCTTTCCACATTGCTTACATTCGTAGGGTTTTTCACCAGTATGAATACTCTGATGTTGAGTTAGGTGTGAAGCTCGTCTGAAAGCTTTCCCACATTCCTTACATTTATAGGGTTTTTCTGTAGAGTGACATCTTGGATGTTGAGATAAGTAGGTATGATGGTTGAAAATGGACATATTGTCATATATGATCATCCCCTGCCTGAAATAGTCCTTCTGATTTTCTTGTTGCTTCTTCAACTTGCCTCTGACTTTCAAATAATCTCTGAAATTGGTCTCTGAAAGCTCACAATTTTCAAGCCTGTTATTCATTTCCCATTGAGATAATTCTGTTTTATTAGTGTCCTTTTCTGGAGATAAGTCCTTATTTGAACACCTTGAAGGCAAGTCTGAAAGATAAGACAACATCAAGTAATTCAAGAGAAATAATTCCAAAGAATTTCCGTGGCAGATAAAACAAATAATACAGAAATAACAGGCCTATAGCAGTATTTTTCAAATATTGTTTACTATGACCCATAATAATACCTTCCTTTCATATCAAAACCTACTGTAAAAATATAATACACACACACACACACACAAATTTCATAAAACAAAATCCTGTCTATCTTCTTCCCTCCCTTTGTACTGGAGATTGAACCCAAGATCCTGCACACCAAATTACACCTCAAGCTCTTTTTATTTTGAATAGGGAGACACTCTCTATTTCATCTTTCATACTTTGTGTCATGTCTTCTCTTGTTTACTCATCTACCCAAGCCCACATGTGTTTAACCCAAAAGAATACCTTTTATCATTGCCCAGGCACTGCTACAGGGTTAAAACATAATGAAAGTTCTCATGAAATATTGAAGATGCTAGAAAAGAAAAAGGCAATTTTCTAAAATGATGGAAGGCATCTGGAGTGATATAGATTCCATGAATTTTATTTAAAAAAACCCCACCATTATAGATGGAAATACAGATCAAGAAATAGAACATGAAAAGTCTTATACATTACCCCTAGGAATGCAAACTGGTACAATGAAAACACTTTGTAGTTTCTTATAAAAATGAAACATACTCAGCAAATGATATAGCAGTCATATTTAAAGATATTTACAATTATGCTCAACACCAAGTATTACAGCTTCTTTATTCATAATTGCCCCAAACTGGAAACAACCCATAAGTTCTTTAAAAGGTGAACGATCAACAGTTTGACAATTATATACAATAGAACACTATTCAGCAATACATAGAAACAAACTATTGATTGATGAAACAATATTAACAAATCTTTAATGTATTTTGGTAAGAAAGCCAGAGCCCAAAGGCTACATATTTTGATTCTATTTATGTACATTCTTGAAAAGGCAAACTATAGGGATGGAAAATAGGTGAGTAGTTTTCATATGCTAGGGAGAGAGGAAGGAGATGACAACAAAAGGAAACCATGAGTTTGAGGGTGGGGGTCAATAATAAGAACTGTTTTATATAAAAACGTGATAGTGGATTTACTTGATGTGTGGATGGTGCACCAGACTTTCTGAAAAATGTCCCTAAGTTTTGGGTGAAATATTACAAATATACTTTGAAAACTGGTCAGGCTTAAAAGAAAATAAAGTATTCCAGAGGCACCGCAACAGTTACCACCCAGCATTGTAGTCCAGAGAAATAGAAACTAGAGAGGTACACGTGCTGTGATTACAGTTATCCTCAGGACATCTGCTGACTTTGGTTGCATAAGTCTCTATATTAATTACCTGAAAAAAAGTCAGAGTCCATGGCCTACAAGAGAGCAGGGATTAGAAAGGGACAACTTTTTTTTTCTTTTGGTACTGGGAAGTGAACCCAGGGGCACTCAACCACTAAGCTACACCCCCAGCCCCTTATTAGAGACAGGTTCTCGCAGAGTTGCTTACGGCCTTGCTAAATTGCTGGGGCTGGCTTTGAACTCAAGATCCTCCTGCCTCAGCCTCCTGAGCTTCTGGGATTACAGGTGTGTGCCATGGTGCCCAGCAGAAATAAACTTCTTTATAAAATTATAAATATCCAAGGATACACTTCAGCAGAAGGGGTAAAATTTTTCTGACCTCAAAGGAAAACAAAAAGAAACATTTCACTATTTTTAAAAATTTGACTTTTACTCTGAGATGGGAAGCCACTGGATAGTTGTGAGAAACAACATGGAAAAAATACCTTTCCTTTGTATTAAAATGAATCATTCTGGGGCCAATCCTCAGCACCACATAAAAATAAACAAAATAAAGGCATTCTTGGGCTGGGGTTGTAGCTCAATGGTACAGCTTATCAGCACCCCATAAAAATGAATAAATAAAATAAAGATAAAAAATAAAATAAAGGCATTATGTCCATCTACAACTACATTTTTTTTTTTGTACTGAGGATTGAACTCAGGGGTACTCAAACATGAGCCACATCACCAGCCCTATTTTGTGTCTTATTTAGAGACAAGGTCTCACTGAGCTGCTTGGCACCTCACAGTTGCTGAGCTGGCTTTGAACCGGCAATCCTCTTGCCTCAGCCTCCCTAACCACTGGGATTACAGGCGTGCACCACTGTGCCCGGCCAAAACCAAAACATTTTTTTAAATGAATCATTCTGATTGTTTCATCAAATCAAAGGACAGCCTGATAGTACAGAAACTAGGCAGACAGAATTTAGGAGGCTACAGCAACCAAATAGCTTGGACTAGATGATGGTGGAGATAGGGGTAGAAGAAGTGACATATCATTGGATTCTGGATATATTTTGAAGGTATACTGAAGAAGATTTAATGATGCAGTGTACTTGTAATATGAGGTAGAGAAAATAGGGAGGATTCCTGGTGTTTCTCTTGAACATCTAGAATAGTGGAAGTATTACTGAAAACCATGCACTGTAGTAAGAACAGGTTTAGATGAGAATATCAAAAGTTTGGTTTTGGGGCCAGTTTAGTGGTGCATGCCTCTAATCCCAGCAACTTGGGAGGCTGATGCAGGAGGATTACAAGTTCAAGGCCAGCCTCAGCATCTTATTGAGACCCTATCTCAAAAGGGCTGGGGATGTTTCTCAGTGGTAGAGTGCCCCTGGCTTCAATCTCTGTCTGGTTACCAAAAAAAAAAAAAAAGTGGTGTTAAGCCCTTAAGTATCACAAGGAAGATATTAAAAAAAAAAAACATATAGGGCTGGGGTTGTGGCTCAGTGGTAGAGTGCACGCCTACCATGTGTGAGGCATTGGTTTGATCCTTAACACCATCTATAAATAAATAAAATAAAGGTATTGTGTCGGGAGCTGCCCTGGATGCAGACACCTTTAAGTCCTGATGCACTGGGTTATGAACAATTATTGCGTTCAGTCTGGCAAGGTAGTGCCAGGTCACAGTAACTTGGGTATTACCCCAGCTCGGATAATGGGGCCTGACTCCAGGAGTAGGTGTCACCTGGTGGGGTTGAGTTACAATCACCTGTTCCTTTGTAAACCTACCCCTTTGCACTTTTTGGGATAGAATGTTCCACAGAATCCCTTTGTGTGTCTCCTATATAAGAATAAAGAATATCAGTGGCTTGCTCTCTTTCCACGGACACTTAATGTCGGAGAGCTGTCATGGATTTTGAAAAGGTACTTCTATGGATTTGTGTGCTTTCTTTGTTGTTTTCTTAAGTCTGGAATACTCAGAACCAACATTAGGTTGCCAGCTAGAAAAGATGGCGATAGTATTATGTCCATCTACAGCTAAAAAAATTATATATATATACATAATGTATATATTTCATAATTTTTATATACATGTAAAAATTATACATATATATGTATATATATATATATATATGTATACACACATGTGGGGGTTCTAGGGACATATTTGATTTAGAAGTATAAACCTAGAAGCCATCACCAAATAGCTGATATTTAAGAGTTATTAGGTTTGACGAGATCACCCAGGAATGTCTTTGGATATAGAGAAGGGAAGGAAAAAAAGGACAATTGTGAGGATTGAGCCCTGGGACACATAAATATTTAGAGGTGAGGGAAACAAGAAGAAACCAGCAATAGAGACAAAGAAGGAGTAGTCAAATAAGGAGGGAGAAAAATTAAGAGTATGTGGAATCCCAAAAGCCAAATGAACAAAATATTTTTAAGGAGGAATGATCAATTTTGTCAGATGTTGATAAGGAAAAATGCTGACCATACACACTCATATAAATATACAGACACACACACACACACACACACACACACACACACAAACACTTTTTTTTTTTATATGAAGATTGAACCCAGGGGCAATCTATCCCTGGGCTACATCCCAAAGCTTTATTTTATCTTATTTTTTATTTTGAGACAGGGCTTTACTAAGTTTCCTAGGCTGACCTTGAATTTGCAATCTTCCTGCTATAATCTCCCAAGTCACTGGGATTACAGGTGTGAGCCACTGTGCCCAGTTTTGACATCTAATTTAACAAAGCCTTTAACAATATGAAGGTGTTATGGTATGGATATGAAGTGTCCCTTGAAAACTTATGAGAAAATGCAGGAATGTTTAGAGTTGAAATGATTAGACGGTGAGAGCTTTAACCTAATCAGTGGATTAATTCTTTAGATAGATTAGTAACTTGAAAGGACTAATGTGTTGAGTGGTAACTGTAGGCAAGTGTGGCTTCCTGCTTGAGGTGGGTCACCAGGGTGATATAATCCTAACCCTGGCTTCTCCCTCTCTCTGCCCTCCAGGAGTGAGGCAGCATTCCTCCACCATGCCCTTTAGCCATGATGTTCTACTTCACTTTGGGCCCAGAGAATAGATTAAATTGACCATAGACTGAACATCTGAAACCATAAGCCAAAATAAACTTTTCCTTCTCAAAGTTGTTCCTGTCAGGTCTTTTGGTCATGGTGATGCAAATCTGACTAACAGAGGAGGTTACTAGCAATTCACAAGAATAGTTTTTTTTGGGGGGGAGGGAGAATTTTTTAATATTTATTTTTTAGTTTTGGTAGACACAACATCTTTATTTTATTTTATGTGGTGCTGAAGATTGAACCCCGTGCCTCGCATATGCCAGGCGAGTGCGCTACTGCTTGAGCCACATCCCTAGCCCCCACAAGAATAGTTTTGATGGAGTAATGGGACAA